GCCAGCAGGGATCTCCTCCTCTCCCCACTCCACCAGCACCAGAGGACCCCCAGCTCAGCTCAGCTTCTCTCCCTCTCCCCACCCATGCTCAGCAAACCTCAGCTCCCACCTGCAACCAATTCCTGCCTCTCCCAGCCTGGCAATTAGAGCCTTTAATTAAACCATTAACCCACCTGGCACTGGGGGTTACCAGGCAGCAGGGAGGCAGTGGAGCAGGGAGCCAGGGTTGGTGTGACCCTCTCTGGGGCTGCTCACCTCCATGTGCCCCTCAAAACGGGGCTGAGCCACAGCCTTTCCACCCTGGGGGTGGTTTGTACCCTTCGGGGGCCCCACCAGCCCTGGGAACAGGATCCTCCTGGTGACAAGTTGTTCCAGACAGGCAGCACAGACAGACATCCACGTATGGCTGATCCATCTATGCATCAGGGAGGGCTGTGGCTCCCCCTCAAAAGTGGGGGCGGTTCAGATTTCTCCTCTCACCTGTCACTAAATCAAAGGCCATTTGGATTTAATCTGCGGGAGAGGCAGGTTTAACCCCCTCCTGTGCTGGGTGTCCCCATGCTGGGGTGAGGACCTGCCTCACCCAGCCCAGGTGCAGGTAGGGGGGCAGAGGGGCTGCCAGCCTGCTCCTCCCTCCCCTCTTCCCTCCTGATTCCCCCATCCAGGGCTCATTCCAGGTGGGAGAAGAAATGCTTCACCCCACGAGGCTGTTGCCCAGCAGTGATGGGGACATGCTGGGCAGGGAGGGTCTCACTGGGGTTTCTCATTACCCACAGCTTCCTCCTCACCTTCCCAGGTGTCCTGCCAGGCAGCCCTGCTGCACACGCAGCTGCTCACACGTACACCAGGAATTTAACCATGGGCAGAGCAGGGGCACAAGTGGGTGACGTGGGGTGGAAGCATCCTGCAGGCACGTGTTGCCTTTTGCTGCCTCTCTGTCCCATTCTGGGGTGCAGAGGCTCCCCATGGCAGGGGGCAGGGATGGATCAGCTCCACCAGCTTCCAGAAGCTGGCCCAGACTCAGGGAAAAGTGTCTCAGTACTGCAAAGTATTTGCCACCACTTCTGCAACGATGCTTGGAGCTTGGGAGCAGTGAGCCAGGCACATCTCTCCAGCAGCTGGGGAAGCCCCTGAAGCCCAAGCACTGAGCTCCTCACCCCACAGAGCAGGTTATTGGGCACCATGTCCAGGACTGGAGCATCCCAGCACCACCTCCCCCAGCCAGAGAATGTTGTTCTCAGCTCCCTTGCTGTGTCCCCTCTGAACCATGACAGCTGAACATTGAGATGTGAGCTCCCTGAAAGCACAGACAGAGACAGCACGGGCTGTTCCTGAGGTTTGGAAACTGTCTTGCTGGAGCTCATCCCAGCACTGCAGCAGAGCCGTGTCTGGAACTGGGGGCACTCAGTGCTGGGAAAGGTTCCTGTGCTCTTTTGGGTCCCCCCTCATACCATTGCTTTAAGGCAGCAGCTAACAGGCTTGCTAGTGAAACAGAGCAATGCTTGTGAAAGATGCTTCAGAACTTGGCAGAATATTAGGACCTTTAACTAGGAGAGTTCAGCTCACACCCTCCAGCCAAGGAGCTCCCTCCCTCCTGGGCCCCTGTGAGGAGGGAGGTTCAAGGACAGAAGAGGCACCAGTGTCCCATGTCCCAGCCTGCAAACAGCAATGGCAGGGGCTGTGCTCAGGCAGAGCTGGTGTTTCAAGCTTGGTTCTCTGCTCTGCCTGAGCCCCAGCACCAGCTTGGGACCTTGGGAACTGTCCCTCATCTCCACCCAGGTTACCCACCATTCCATGGCTGTTGGCCCTACAGAGGCTGGATCAGGGGTAAGGATGACCAGGAACTCTTGTTGCACATCTCCAAAAGCCCCTTGCCCCAACCTGCCTGTGAATGCTGGGCCTGGGGCTCCCCCTGCCCCAAACCCACCCAGCTCATTCACACTGTCCCAGCTCCCACCTATTAGGGCTGTTGCTCCTCATCTTTCCTTCTGCTGCCTGCACTGCTCCCTGCCAGCAGCTCGGGGCTGTTTCTCCTCTCAGCTCCCTTGCAGGCATCTCACTGCCTCCCTCCCTCCCTCCCAGGGCATCCTGATCCCCTGTCCCATGCCCAGGGCACACTCCAGCTCAGCACTGGCACTGGCTGTGCCCCTGCCAAGCTCCAGTGCCGCGGGTGCAGCACCTGCTGCAGGATCCAACACTCCACCCGAGTTACCAAATCCACAGGGGCCAGATCCCAGCCACTCCCACAGCCCTGCTGAAGCCAAGACCCATCCGAGCTCCCCTCACTCTCCCAGTGAGTCCCCATGGATGGATTGCACAGTTTTCCTGTAGGACACGTCCATAAATCTCCCCATCTCCGAGTGCTCATAAAGGTCCCATGAGTCCCTCCTGGGGGGGGAAACCCAGGCTTTAATTACCATTTTTTTAAATGATACCTGCCCCAAGCTGGCTGGCCAAGCCCTCCTTGGAAAACACAGCATTTAAGCACCTCATTCTGGGCACAAAAGGCTGTGATAGAAAACGAGGCTCCGTGTTCATCCCTCTCTGGCTCCTTCCCCCCACACTCTGCTCTCCCTGCTGCCAGGGGACATGAGCTGATATGGAACGAGACACTCATGCAAAAGGCCTTTGGAAATATTCATTGCTCATCTCTTAACAAGATTACCCCTGAAACCCTCCGTGGCTCTGAGGGAGAGTTAAAGCCTTCCTGGCTCTCGGTAACCATAGCAGCACAGATGTGAAAAACTGAGGGGAGGCAACTGATGTGAAAAACCATCGGGGCACCGAGGCAGGAGCTGCTGCTCCAGCACACAGGGCTTTGTCTCACCCAGACCACGAGGGATGCACCCACTCCCTGCAGAAGTGGCTCCAGGTGTAGGGACAGGACCTGGTGGCAGCTCCCGTGGCATCGGGGTCACCTTCCACTATTTGGGAAACCCTCACTGGCTGGCAATTGCTGCTTGGTGTTTCCCAGCGTGTCCAGCAGCTCGGGGCTCCTTCCCCGCCGGAAAGGGTTTAGGGCCAGTTGGAGCCTGGGGTCCCCATTCCCTCCTGGCACAGGTTTCTCCTTCACCTTGGGTACCTCTTGTGCAATCAGTAAGAGACACTGGGTGTTGTAAGGTTGAACAGATCCGTGTTTTGTGGCCCTGTGCAATGGAACACTGGGAAAAGAAGCAGTGGTGAAGGCATGGAACAGCCCCCAGCACCTCCTGATGGCTGGAGAGCCTCCCTGCAGAGCTTCACCAAAGCCACAGGGAGCAGCTCTGGGACAGGCTCTCATCTCCTCTCTTGAAGACCCCGTCATTACAGCCATCCAAGCAAAAAGAGGCATTAACCAATTTCTTGTCCAATTTAAGAAAAACAAGGGTTGTTGGGGTTTTTTTTTTGCTTTCAAGAGCTTCCAAAGCTGGGGTCAGATAACTCGGCACACCCTGCTTCCTCAACAGCTTTCATTCTTCATGTCCACCACTGTCAGTGTCACGTCAGGCACCAACCCATGATCACTGCTTCACTGTCATGCCCAAACCCAGCCCGTTCCACTCAGCCACCCCCTTCTCCTGGTCCTATGGCTGTGCCATCACACCTCCTTCATCCTCAGCTCCTGTAACCTACCACAGCTCAGCCCATGGGCTCTGGGCTCTCCTCACAGCAGAGTCTCTCCAGAGAGAGCTTCAAGTGTGCAAGAGAAGATGCATCACTGGATGCTGCAAAACCCCATTGGTGCTGTCGTGTACTGGGGGTATCTGGACATCAGCCCCATGGCCAGGCCTGTCAGAGACTCAACCTTCCTCCCAGGGCAGGCTGAGCCAAGAAGGGCACCCTGCTCACCCCGACAAAGTCTCCTGGCTTTCCTCCCGGCAGGATCAGACAAGAAAAACTCTTGGCAGAGCTAAAACTTTAGTGTTAAGGATCGTTCTTACATAAAGGGCTTCTGAAATCAACAGAATCAGTTCAGCCAGAGCCAAGCACTGGATCCGGTACTTGGGGCTGGGAAGCAGCCCCTCCTTTTGAGCAAGTTCACTTGGCATAAATCAGCTTCCAAAACAGCTTCAGGGTGGAACAGGGAAGGCAACTGCTGTGGAAACACCCCCAGAGCAGGCAGCCCTGATCCCCTCCCAGCAAACCCGTGTCCAGGGCGATGCCCAGCCCTGCCGAGGGGACATGGATCCCACCTCCCATCAGGGATCAACCAACCCTTCTGGGTCACTGCTGTGCTGAAGGAGGTCCCGGCTTCACCCCCCCACCCAGGGCTGCTGGGCAGCTGCTCGTGGAGGTGGCCAGGCATCTTTCTCAGGGAGAGCTTTTTTTTTTCTCCTTCTTATTTTCCCCTCAGGTTAAACATTTCCTAGAGTCCCCGACGCAGTGACAGCCAGACGTGGCGGTTTTGATCCAAGGGTTTCGGGGAGAGATTCTTCTACCCCGTGGGAAATATTTCAACAGCTCCCAGAAGAGCTGGGCACGTTTGCAGCAACCCCACCTGCAAAACAAGGTCCCCAGCCCCAGAGAAGGGCCAGAACCGCCACGGGTCACCAAGCCAGCCCCTGACATGGCTGGCCATGAGACAATGGGTGGGGGACCCCCTGCTGAGTTCCCCTGCTGCCAGCAAACCCACGCCAAGACACAAGATGTTAATCTGCAGGGAGCAGGGCAGGGCAGGGCTGGCGCGGCGCAAGGGCTGCGATGCTGCCGGCTCCCCGGCTGCGGCGGGCGATGCAAGCACAGCTTGCAAGGCAAGCGCTGCTTCCCAGGGCTGGAGGGGCTTTCCAGGACTGAGCTCTGCGGATTGGCCCGGAGCACCCCGCTCTCTCTCCTCCCTCCCTGCCCTCCCTCAACCCACGGAGATTGGACAGTCTGGTGCCACATGGCAAAGAGGAACCAGGATAAAAGATGAGCCGGGCTTGGAAGCTGTAGCGCTTGTGGCAGATCGGCTGGGAGAAGTTCGCCAGGGAAGTGGCACCAAACTTCCCTGGCTGCAGGGAGCTGGGTGCAGGGGAGGACAGACAGCCCAGCAGCCAACCAGGGACACCTGTGGGGCGAGCAACAAGCTGTGGAGCACCCTGCTCCCCTCCGTGCCCAGCCATGTCCCCGGTGGTGAAGGAGAAGAACCACGTGCGGTTGGTCTTCTTGGGAGCTGCCGGCGTGGGCAAGACAGCCCTGATCCGCCGCTTCCTGATGGACACCTTCGAGCCCAAGCACCGGCGCACGGTGGAGGAGCTGCACAGCAAGGAGTACGAGGTGAGCGGGGCCACGGTCAAGGTGGAAATCCTGGACACCAGCGGCAGCTACTCCTTCCCCGCCATGAGGAAGCTCTCGATCCAGAACAGCGACGCCTTCGCCCTGGTCTACGCCGTCGATGACGCCGAGTCCTTCGAGAGCGTCAAGAGCCTGCGGGAGGAGATCCTGGAGGTGAAGGAGGACAAGTTCCCTCCCATCGTGGTGGTCGGCAACAAGGCGGAGAGCGGCGGGGAGCGGCAGGTGCCAGCAGAGGATGCCCTGTCGCTGGTGGAGCTGGACTGGAACAGCCGCTTCATGGAAACATCGGCCAAGGACAACGAGAACGTCCTGGAGGTCTTCAAGGAGCTGCTGCAACAAGCCAACCTGCCCAGCCGGCTCAGCCCGGCGCTCTGCAAGAGGAGGGAGACGCTGCCCAAGGAGCAGGCGCTGAGGCCCCCCATGAACAAGACCAACAGCTGCTCCGTGTGCTGAGCCGGGGGAAGGCACCGGCGGCAGCAGCACCGGCTGGAAACTCAGGTGGGCTGAGTGGGGAGACGTCAAACCAACCCTGCTGCCTCTCACACCTTCCCTTCTCTTCCCCTCCCAGCCTGCTGGGATTGGTGAGAGTTGGAGATGATGAGGTGGAGGGACCTGGGAACTTGGGGGGGATGTGGGATGCTGGAGGGGAGAGGGAGAGTTCCCGGGAAGTGGGAGGTTTACCTGGGACACGGCCATGGGGCAGGCAGCAGGTGGCAGCACCGCCCTGGTGAGCTTGCAGGTGGGCAGGCAGGCAGCTCCTGGGGTGCTGGGAAGGGGGACAAACAAGAGGTTTGGGCTGCAAGCATCAGAAGGCAGGTGTGGAGTCCCAGCACCCCCACCACGTCCCCTGTGCCGCCCTCCGGGGTCTCCCGTGGGTCCCACCTCACCAAGCCCCAGAACCAACAACCTCCTGGCTCCAACAACACATCCAGTCGTTCTGGTTTGGTCCCTCACACCCAGCATGTGGCCGGGCAGTCTGTGCCTCTCTCTGGTTTTCTCTTTTCTATTATTTTGTTATTTCTTTTTTGTTTGTTTGTTTTTAAGCACCCCCAATAAACACCTGGTTGCAAAGTGGAGCTGGGACACGTCTGCCTTTCTTTCTCCTCTACTTCAAATGCTGCAGTGCCTGATATCGGTGCCCAGACCCCTTCTCACTGCATTTGCATTCCCTTTTCCCTGCTCCATCACTATCTGAAGCCTCCCCAGCTCTCCAGCCTCCCCTGGAAGTGCCAGGACATTTGGTGTTCCAATTTTCCTGACAATTTAACCACTACAGCTTTTACCAAGCATGAGTAACTAAAAATAAACCAGCTTTTCTCACGTCCAAGTACAGGAAAGAACAACAGCCATTAGAAGGCAGCTGATCCAGTGACATAAAAACCATAAACACATTAAAAGGAGGTAATAAAGGGAGTGGGAGAGGAGCACAGAAGGGCAATATTTGCTGTGCTTCAGCATGCACTGCCCTGCTTTACTCTCCCCTCACACAGCCCATCCCTGCTGTAACGAGCATTTAACCTGCTCAGCAGCCCCACAGCCACAATAAATAAAGATATTAAAGCTTTAAAGTGGATTAATGTCATCCATCCTGCTCCAGATTCAATGGAGCTGGGCAATCTGGGGTCCCCAGCTTTCAGAAGCCCAGCCCTATAATAGGTGCCCATACACCTCTAGGTGCAGGATCCCATCCAGTGACCCCAGCCCCTTCCCAAACCAGGCAAAGGAGGAGAAGGTGCCAGCAGGGAGAGCCCAACCTCCCCGTGGGGTCCCCCCACTGCCACGTCCCCCGTGGGCCTTGGTGCAATGACAGTGACCTCCAGGCTCCTGGGGCAGGATGAGGCTGGGGGCAGGCGTGGGGGGGCTGGCAGGCAGCTGGGGGGTGCAGGCAGGATTGCCATGGGCTGGGCTGTCCCCACTGCTCTCCCACTGGCAGCCACACACCCTGGTGCTGCCACCAC